CGATCGGACTCGCCCCGTGCGTGCGTGGGCCCGCACGCCCGCCGCCGCCGCCTATAAGACATGCGCGAGGGCCAGCACCAGCACCAGTCTTAGCCTCGGCCTGCCCTGCTCTCTCTGCACCCACCTTCTTTCGTCATGAAGCTGTTCTTTACTGCCCTCGCCGTCGTCGCCGCTGCCGTCTCTGTCGCTGCGTCCCCCGCCAAGCGCGCGCCCTCCGAGACCGACGCCCTCCAGTTCGTGCTCGCCTTCGAGCACGTGGAGCACGCCTTCTAGTACGTAGTAGGCCGACTGCCCGAGACGCACGACCACGTAGCTGACTACTCTCTGTCTTTTGCAGCACCAATGCTCTTGCCATGTTCGATGAGCAAGCCTTTGCCGACGCTGGCTTCCCGCCCTGGGTCCGCGGCCGCTTTGAGCAGATCGCCGAGCACGAGGCCGCCCACGTCGCCTTCCTCACCAATGCCCTCGGCAAGACTGCTGTCCAGCCCTGCACCTACGATTTGTACGTCCGCCCCCCTTTCGTAGCTGCTGCTTCACTTTCACTCACATGCTCCCCGGTCAGCAACGTTTCCTCCCCGATTCCCAACCCTGTACAGTCCTTCGTCTTTTTCGCTGCCCGCCTCGAGGACGAAGTTGTGTCGGCATACCTTGGTGCTCTCCAGTACATCAAGAACCCTGCGTACCTCACCGCTGTCGCTGCCATCCTCAGCACTGAGTCCCGCCACCAGGCCTGGATCAGCTCCGCCGTTCAGCACCTGAACCCCTGGAGCGGTGCCTTCGGCACTCCTCTTGATTTCGACGAGTCCTACGCTTTTCTTAGTATGTGGAGCGTCTTTTTCTTTCACTACCCCTGCAGCTCAGCTGATCGATATACTCTGCTAGCTCAATACGACACCAGCTGCCCGTCCACCAACCCCCCTCTCCCGGTTGACAGGAAAATCCCCGACATCACCTACCTAGCCGAGGATGGCGACGTCCAGGGCGGCCGGATCAAGATCTTCTCAAAGCTTCCCAGCGACAAAAATCTCTCCGTCGCCTTCTTGAGCGGCCTTTCCCCCGTCTTCGAGCCCCTCCATGGCGACGAATTCAGACTTCCCGAGATCGGCGGCACCCTGTACTTCGCCGTCACCACCAGCGACAGTGTCGTCAACGACGATAACCTTGTTACCACCCCCGCCATCGTATACCTCCCTTTCCCAGCTAATGCTACTTCTCCCTGACCCACAAGCTGCGCAGTCATCCTCTGCCATGATCTTTTCACCGCACACAAAAATCTGCGCTACAGGATTTTGTAGATATATATCATGGCCTTGTCTGCGTACACGCACGAAGTCTTTTAGGTAAAAGCGAGGAAACTGTTGAAAGCAAAGCAGTCCGCGTCAAAGCACCCCATAACTTGATAGGGCTCAGCGCTCCTGACGCGATGCTGACAAAACGCATTAGGGACGTTCAGAGTAAAAAATCTGGCTTCGCCCTTCATGTTTGTCCGCGGCAGGCTAATCGAGCACAGTATCGCAGGGCATTCATGTAGATATCGCTGGCAAAGCTTTGTTGGATGACCCGATCCGAGGTAGCACTTTGGACATCAAGAAAAAGCCAACTTACTCTGGGCACTCCAGAGCAAAGATAGGCACCGGAGGCATCGCCCCTGGCTCTGGGGACTCTGGGATCTTAGTAATATTGCCATGATCTTTGCTTGTTCTGTGGTGTAGTTCCCAATTGAAGTCTGACATTCATTCGTGATATCCTCCTGCGTGATTCTAGGACATCGATGTTCTATTGGGCGAAGGCTTTCAAAAGATGCCTGTTGGATTTGGCTGCTTTGCGAGCCCTTCATTTCGAAGGCGTCGGCGGTGTAAACCACGATGATCTTGCGACCGATCAGTAAATTAAAGCGTGAGGTACATAAGTACACGTGTATACACGCGGGGGACCAGCGCGGCGCTCTCAATACCCCCGGCTTACATAAGATCTAATCCAGAGAGCCGGCAGTTCCGGAGCGTGTGGGGAAAGCCGGAGTCACGTGCTATGTGTACGCCTTCACGTGAAACTTGGGCGCCCACGCTCGGCGACCGACCATATCCCTCTACTAAGGGGCTCGTAATCTTTTTTTTCCCAGAGTCATATATCGCGTGCTTGCTGTGATGCTCACCATCTCCCGCCTGCGCAGCTCGCTCACCGGCTCCGTCAGCGCCAACGCCATCAGCACCATCAGCGCCAGTGTCACCAGTGCGCCTGCCGTCATGAGCCGTGCCGCCCGTCGCTCGTCCACGTTCGCGAACCAGGGGGTGCTCCCGCGCCTGCCCGTCCCTGCGCTCCGCCAGTCGCTCGATCGGTACGTCAAGAGTCTCGAGCCGTTCGTCGAGGAGCACCCCGGAACGGGGACGCTCGAGGATAGGAAGAGGCTCGTGCGGGAGTTTGAGAGTGGGTTGGGGAAGAGGCTGCAGCAGCGGCTCCTGGGTGGGTCATGGATCGTCCTATATATACGCGGAGCTATGCGACTGACGTTTCATGGACGATGTGTGCGTGTGTGCGCGTGTAGATCTCGACGCCGTATCACCCAACAACTGGCTCAATGACACGATCTGGCTCCAGAAAGCATACCACGAATGGCGCGCGCCGCTCCTCATCAACTCCAACTGGTGGCTTCTCTTCCACGACGACGTCAATGTTCCGAGCGCCGTGCGCGAACAGCCGCCCGCCGAGGGTGCGATTACCGAGTGGCAGGTCCGGCGGGCGGCGTGGTTGACGAAGAGGTTGTTGGACTATCGGGGGCTGCTGGAGAGGTGCGATCCCGTTTGTTTTTGTCGAACCCATTCTGTATTCTCTAAATTTCTTCATTTTTCCATTTATACACATCGGGACTTGCCTAAATAATGATGACGACAATATAGGCAGGAGATCTACCCTGACACGTCGCGCACAGGTCCGTTTTGCATGCATCAATATAACCGGTGTGTATTCGCGGCACGGTTTATCCATCTTGTGTTTCTCTTCCCCCCGCTTACAATTTAGGTAAATGGTTCCGTGCGCCGGCTCTCAGAATGTACTCCCTCACGCGGATCCCGCTGCCGGGGTGCGACGCACTCACGCACGCGCCGCGGCTCAAGGCCCCCGGGGCGCGCCATGTGCTGGTTATGGTGAAGGAGTGGTGTTATGTGGTGGAAGTGCTTGGCGCAGATGGGGAGGCGATTGCGGCGGCCGAGGTGGAGAGGAGGTTTGGGGCAGTCGTTGAGGATGTGCGCGCGCGCGAGGCGAGGGGAGAGAGACCTGTGCCGGTCGGGAGGTTGACGGCGGACGAGCGGAATCTGTGGGCCGAGGTAACCAATCCGCTCCTAATTCTCCGGCGCGCTAAATGTAATTCTTGGGTATACAGAACCGAGAACACCTTCTCTCGATCTCCCCCGAGAACCAGCGCCTCCTCACGACCCTCCAAAACACGCTCTTCGCTATGTCGCTCGACGCGTACACGCTCCCGCACACGCCATCCGACGCGTACACTATCCCGGAAGTAGACGCGCACGTTAAGAACTGCTCGTCGGGCGGGGGGAAGGGGTGCAACCGGTGGTTTGACAAAGCGATCTCGATATGCGTGGAATCCAACACGCGCGCGGGGATGATGGGGGAGCACTCGCCGTGCGATGCGCTGATCCCGAGTATTGTGGGGGATTGGATTATTGCAGAGCCGATGGATAATGGCGCGTTTGAGGGGAAACAGGGAAGTGGAACGGGGGGGTGGGAGGTGCTCGAGTGGGTTGCGGACGAGCGGTTGGAGAGGGAGTGCGAGGCGGCCGGCGAGAGAGCCGCAGTGCTCGCTGCCGACTCGGATGTGGGTCTATTGTGGTTTGGAGAGTACGGTGCGGAGTGGATAAAAAAGCACGGTCCGCCTCTCCTCCATCCTTTTGACTACTGACGTCGGCTTATTATGGGTCGCACAGGCAAGATGTCACCAGACGCGTACATCCAGATGGCCCTCCAGCTCGCGTGGTATAAATCCCAGGGCCATTTTACCGCCACGTACGAGACGGCGTCCACGCGCCTGTTTTTGCACGGGCGCACGGATGTCATCCGGACGCTCAGCTCGGAGAGTCGGGCGTTTGTCAAGGGCATGCTGGACTCGTCAAAATCGGTGCGATGATTTTAATCCACCGCGCCCTCCATTTATCCCACCGTACTACTCACACGCTGACACGTTGGCTCATCGGCTTGTCGATCTCAGGCCACAGAAAGATACACCCTCCTACAAGCGGCGGTGGCAGCGCACAACACCTACACCCGTGATGCGTCCACCGGCAAGGGGTGCGACCGCCACCTCATGGGTCTCCGCCTCATGATGCGACCCGGTGAATCGAGCGCGCTGTTCGAGGACAAGCTGTTCGCAAAGAGCCAGGAATGGAAGTTGAGCACGAGCGGGCTGAGCGCTGGGACGCGGTTCAAGGGCACCGGGTGAGTCGAATCGTTTCATCTTCGTTTGGTTCGTGGTGGGAGACTTTAACTGATAAACGATCCGGGCGGTTGTAGATTCGGCACGGTTTGGCCTGATGGCTATGGAATCAACTGTACGCCTCCACCCCATTCACCTTCCTGTATGCATATCTTACAACGCTCCCTCCGAAGATTTGTCCGGCGCGCATCTGCTCAAATTCGGCATCGAGTCCAAACACTCGTGCGAAACCACCTCGACGAAAAAGTTCAAAGCTAACCTCGTTGAGAGCTTGCGCGAGATGAGGACGGTGTGCGAGCAGGGCGGTAGCGACGAGTCTGCCGCCCCCGCAGCGAAATTGTAGGGATATTGGATAACTATACCTTGGATTGTGTATGTATTCGCGGAGTGGGAGGTTATCTGTGGTGAGAGATATCTCGGAGATTGTTATAAGGATTTATGTCTCTTGGTTAGAGTGCGAAAAGCATGTTTGAATACAGTGTCCCTCTGCTGATGTCCGGGCGTGCACTTTTTTCGAGGGATCCAATGCCAGAAGAGGCAAAAAGAAAAGCTACAATGACCGCCGCAGGACTCGAACCTGCAACCTTTGGTTTCGAAGACCAACGCGATAACCATTTCGCTAGGCGGCCGACAAGGGACTTGGGAGCAGTCTGGCTCAATCTTCAACTTATGCGAGGCTGAGAATTATAGATCATCGGGTAAGCTCGCCTCTCCAGATCCTTGTATTGCTTGGTTTATTTGGCGAAGATGACGGATTTGATGCGACTAGGTATAGCTGAAGAAGGAAATTGGATACCACATCCGATCTATCGATGCCTAGCCCATCGGCGGGGTGTGATGATCGTGTTCGCATATCGGCTTTGGGCTTCCGGGCTTCTCCAGCGCACATTTAATTCTCGGCTAATGCCGCCTAATGGCAGAAAGGGGATTGACGAAAGTATTCGATGGCGCTGAAACGCCGCGGGTGCGTCAGAAAGTGTTGGAACGAGGGTGCTGCTTCAAACCCCCAAGGTGGCGTTGAGTTGAGTCAAGCGGAAACAAGGCTATTGCCACCAACAGTCTAGCGGCTTAGTAAGCCACTCACGTTTTCCTACTAAGGGCCCGGTTTTCATGGGAGGATTTGAGCGCTTTGATCTACGTACATAATGATAAGGGGATGAGAATACTTGCCAGTTATAGACTGCTTTGATTAAGTGACGAGGATGTATAGGTATGCTTTGGGAGCTACTCGCGAGCGATATGAGGGTGACATGATTGAAAAGATTGGCTGCGACTTGGTAACTACCACGGGAAGGTTGTGAAAACAAGGTATGACATTTGCTGGCAGAGGCAGGACCGGCACCTCTGGGCTCAAGTGAGAATCTCACGCCCCGACATACAGGCGCGGAATCATTCGATGGCTTGCCAAAATTCGAGGATTATATATATACTCACCGGCTACGTCAGGTTTAGGTATGGACCATGGGCATAATCTGAGAACGGAAGCTCCAATGAAGGCAAGGGGCTGTTCAATCCCCAATCGGGGGCTTCACCTCTTAACATTGGGCCAGCACAGCGGGGCCCTGATGCCGGGCGCGAATTGGGGCTGTGGTGGTAAGTAGACCTAGTCCAGAAGAGAGAACATTTGATTAGCCACCCAGCTTCTGTCTAGAGGTGTCACCAACAACGCAGTCCAAGGAAAGTGAAACGCTACTCAACGGACTCAATAACGACATCGGATGAGGGAAGAGGTGGGTCGGCTATTACATAGCCCGAGCTTACAGCACGACCAACACAGTGAATACTTTGGAAAGTGCCCGGTGGTTGGCTTATGGGAAAATTGGAATGGATAGAATTGTTGTGGCAATTCTGGAGGAAATTCACGCGATTTTTTTTGGACCTAGTCCTTTGAAAATTCTGTCTTACCAAAGTTTAGGCACCTAATGATTTATGTAGTGAGATGAAATGCTCGGGGGCAGAGGTCCGATTTTTAGATGGTGTTGAGTTGGAGTCGAGGCTATTGCCACCACGGCTGTTTCACCCTATGGGCTCATCGCGCTTTTTGGGAAAAACCCTGCCAAAATTAATTTACCAAAAGTCCCTTGGTTGTCGCGGTCGTCGTGTGGTCGTCCCTTTCAAACCAGCGCCAACCATAAATATCGTTGAAGTCAAACAGATTGAACTGAATCGCGCTGGGGGAGACCATATACTTTGGTTAACCGCTCAAACGGGCGGATGGATCTACGCTAACTAGATTCATCGGGATTCAACATTGCGAAGTATGAAATTCATCGGGTTTCTTCATGCTGCACATTTCCCTGAAGGAATCCCACGGAGCGGGGTCACCGGAGCGAGAGGGGCAACTGGACGGAGCGGCATAGCGCGGCATGTACAGAAGGAGCGAAGAAAACTCATGGCACGGGATGTTGTGATTCGCCTCCACGGCGCACCATAAGCCAGCGATAAGAAAGGTTGGCAGGGAGTTGGAGGGCTTTTGGCTGACAGAAGCTAGTGATGTGCAGCAAGTGGTTTCCGGCCAGTGAAGGGTGTAGAGTGGGCCACAACCTCGGTAAAGGATAGGGTCTGTGACGACGGTGGGAAGCGGCGGCGGAAAGCAGCCTCATTGTTCGGGGTAATGCAAACGGTGTGCAATAAGAAGTCGTTGCTCAGCGCTCGAGGATCGCAACACCCCCACCCGCTTTCGCTCGGACGACTGCAACGGCCGCCAGACGACTTGGACTTTGACGCGACAACGACGGTGGATATCCACGCATTTACGATGAAAGTTGGTGAGGATCGTGCCAAATTGGGCCGTTTTTGTCCTGATTGTCGCGCCCTTTTGCGGGCGATTTCGAGCTGAAGTCTTACCCCCGCCTCATCCTTTAGCCGTCGCATCCCATTTTTCCTCCTCCTTCTCCCCGCCATCTGCCCACCTCCGCACCGCCGCCATCGTCCCCGATCTCCCCTCGCATTTTCTCCAGCTTCAGCGCTCGGCATCCCCGACGGCGTCGTCCCCAGCGTCTCTGTCAAACTCGCTTCCCCCTCCCCCCAGAGCCCGCACCCACACGCGTGGCAAGTCCACCGCTGTCGGTTCCAGTGCCCACCAAAACCTACCTCAACTTCCCCCGCCCGAAGAGCAGCAAGTTCAGCCAGTAATCGACTTTCAGTCGAGCCAGCGGTCATCGACCCTACCCCGATCAACGCCAGTCCTATTCCATCCCAGTCTCCCTCCCAACACCACGTGAGCCCTTCATCCGCGTTTAACCGCGTCCTGTGTAGCTCTCTTTTGTTTCTTTCTTGCCCTCTTAGGCGGCCTTCACCCTTTCATTCCCATTCTGTTCTTATGACATCCTGAACCCATCTCTTCCTGTTTCACGGAGTTCATTTGCTGACATTGTCCTGTTCCCAATGTCCCGCAGTGCTTATATTCCGCGCCCGTTGTCCACTTTCTCCACCAGTTCATCTTCTGACCCCCCAATCTCTCCTGTATCTCCTACCCTTATCATCCACCCGCCGGTTCGGTTGTCCTCTCTCAACAAGCTCGACAGAATGCTCGGCAAAGGCGCCTCCACGGCTGCGATCAGCCATCCTCGCCTCACACCTACCATCTCCACCGAGTCTGCGTCTACCACAGGTTCTGCCAGGCCGCTCATGTCATACTCCCCTTGCGAATGGCGCGATATTCATCCATTCCATGACGATCGAAGGCGAAGCGATTCTGATCGCCCCGCATCGATCAACATGTTCAGCTTTCCGTTTGCCGCACCTCGGCCCTCCGCAGATGTTCCGTCGCGAGAATCTTTGCCTTTACCCTGGCGGCCTCGTGAATTCATAAACCGTGTGCTGGGTCGTCCTCCTAACCGCGTTTCTCACGCTCGCGCCGGTTCTTCTCCTCCAGACCTTCATATCTCAACGAAATCCTCATTTGGAGGATCCAGGCCGTCGTCTCCTCTTGTTCGCCCAGCCTCGGCCTGCGAGACTGAGTGGGACGCAGTTGATCGCCCGCCCACCACCAATGTCCTCTCTACTTCCGAACGAAATGAACTTCTCCGAAAGAACCGAAAGCTCCAACAGGTTCTTGGTGAAACACCTGTCCCTCTCCCATTCGTTGGTGGCAACGATGTGAGCTCGTACAGACTGCAGCTTGAACGACTCCCTTTATCTCAGCGGCGGCACTCGTACACATCGCCACCGCCTCCGTTGTCCTGGCACGATCAGACGCACAGCTACCCTATCGCTATCTCCCCTCCAACGCCGAACGAAATGGCGCAAACGATCGTACACGGCCGTCGTCCCCGTCCGCTATCATCGCCTGCCTCCCCCGCTTTTTTCGGCAGTTTCGACCATCCCTATTCTCCTCGCAACAATATAATCGACTACGACCAACCTTCGACCCCACCATTCACGCCCATGCCTAACAAAGGCCAGGAAGTTGAATTCCCGAATGCGGAACAAACCAATGCGATGTATACTGTACCGTCCCCTCACTCCCTTTCCTCATTCACATCCACGGAGGGCTCTTCCATTGCGATGGGCTATGAGCCTGAACCTACCTCACCCACGCATGCCCAGAAACGTGCCAAACTAGCGAAGATACATCGCTTCCTCGGCTCGCGTGTTCCGCCGCACCTCGTACTGGGACTCCCGCAACCTCTCGAGGAGGCTCTCGCGCGAGATCTTCCCGATCCCGCGCCTGAGCCTCGGACGGAGACGCGGAGAGCGTCAGGGAACTGGGGCGAGAAGCAGGGTGATAATCGTGATTCGTGGTGGGCTCTATGGGAGGAGAACGAACGCGAGGGTGGCGCCGGTGGCGGCAGTGGCGATGGAGATGTTGAGCTAAGGCTCACCGGGGAGCAGAGAGCACAATGCGTGAAGCGCAAGGTGAAGATGGAGAAAGTGAGTGATCCCGCTCCCCTCTTTAATATTCCTCGGCGGCTTTTTCGATGGGTTTCACGAATATTGACCCTTGATTCTTCCGATTGTAGATGTTTGGAGCGCTTCCGCCCCAGACGCTTTACCAACCCCGACCGCCTGCTGCTCCGCAGAGCCAGCATGATGACGATGAGTCGTATGATGAAAAGGGGGCTTTGAGCGATGCTGCCAGTGGCATGAGTCCCCAGTATCTGCAGCATCGCACGTCGCTGCTTTCCTTGGCTATGATCGTGGAAAGCGTGCGTAATCCCGGCGTCTTATTTTTCAGATGCTAGGGACTGACATTTATTTTTGGACTGTATAGAACGATAAGAAGAGTCTCACCCGAATGTTGGCATGCTACCAAAGTGGCGACGACGATCAAGAATCCCTCCTATCGTCATCGGACTCTGAGATTGATTTCGAAGACGCAATGGAAGAAGGATCGCACGCACACATTCCGCGAAGACCTTCTAACCCCGGAGGGGTCAGACGGCGCAGCAATTATTCTATGGAGCAGGCTCCTACTATCTCGCATGCCTATGGTAGCGCTTACGCCGGAGATTGGGTCGAGCCATCGCCAGATCCCGCAGAGGCCCTGCCCATCGACTTCAATGCACTCGGGTTCCAGCAACGACGTCGGCGCGCGGAGAAGCTGCAGCGTATCTTCGGCGTGGATTACAGGACCTTGTTCAAAGAGGTATTAGACAATATCGAGAACGAGGTCAAGGACGACAGG